CATTTCCCCCACATAATATTTACTGGTTGCCCACAAGTGCTCTGAGATGTCACACAGTTCTGGAGAGTCTGGTGTCAACTGGCATAGTTCCACCTGCTGAATACAATAATAAATTTTTGTTGGCAGCTGCACAGTTCACACAACACTAATGTTTGCTGTCAGATGCTTACTAAACACCTCATTGTAATGTTTCATCCCTGGAATGTGAGTTTCTTCCTCAGGTCTGTACTGTTGCACTAATCATAAACCCAATCATTTTATTTAGCATTTAAAATAAAAATATGTGAGATGATGTCATGTATTTCACTTGACAAAGCAAGTTTGTTCCCATATAATCAGGTGTGTGTGTATGTCTAGGTGCAAGCTTCACATACATCAGAAACAAGAAACTCCGTCTGTTAGTCTCCGCTCATTTGCAACATTCTATTCACTTGTGTTATGATCAAATGATCTTTCCCTGATCTAATAACAATCAACTAATTTACATATCAATTCATAACCCACTAAGTTTACAGGACAAGATGATAACAGCTGGTTTGCAATCTTTAATCAGTCCCACATCGTATTTAGACTTGGCCCACAGGCCGTCAGGCACCTCTGATCAACAGTGGGATCAAACAGTTCAAATGAGCAAACAGTGAACAGTATAACAATAGACAGCATAACTGTTTTATAAGCATTCAGTTTTAGGGAGAACAACATTTTTGGCTCCTCCCTGACTTGCCAGTCACACGTTCTGTTACAATTGCGCACAAGTCTGCCCAGGTCTTCCCACCTGCAGTCAGTAGACCTAGCAAGGAAGATGTGTGGGGTGGATGCATCCATTATAAATAACCTTTTGTTCTTTAGTGAGGGAAATCGCAAGTGCAGCAAATGTAAAGCTCTAAAATAAGCATTTCATTGTTAGTTTATCATGTTCAACTCTTTACCACTCCTCCCCATGTCTCTCATCAGGGCTCTGCGAAGCACAGTGAAAAGTGCAGTGCAGGCCATCAGCGGCCAAAAATGGCATCTGGAGGCATGCAGTCACGTGCTGTTTGTAAAAAAAAACAAACAAAAAAAAAAACTTTCAGTGAGCAGCCCTGCCCCCAGCTTCCATTCATACACGAAGGCAGGGGTCACAGGGCTGTATTTCACCATTGCATGGTCACATTCTGACTGTGTGATTGTAATGCCATCATGGCAGGAGATCAAATTTATGTTTAATTTACACATTAAGTAAATTTACTGGACATGAGTCTGACAAAACTTTTAACTTTTGGCCCTGTCCGTCAATTCAGGACAGGGGAATGGTGAAATTATCTCTTTGAACATGGCCTGTTGCAGAGACAGTGTGGGTGTACCTTCTAATGTTGGCTGGAATTTCAGGGTGAGAGTGTAACACAGAGTGGCTCCGGAGTCTACAAGAAATTCCACCTTCTCACTACACACAGACATTGTATACATAGGCAGAGATTTATAGGCTTTGTTTGTTAAATGTACATAGTGCCCTTTGGATGGCATGAAATGCATTCTAAGTGTGGCTTCTTGCAGCAGTCTCTGTGTTTGTGTATGTGTGTGTGTGGAGCACTTTTTTTCCGTAGCACTTGTTAGCGAAGCTTTCTTCATTGCGTCAGCATGTGTGTGCGTCCGTGTTTGTGTGTGGCTCTTGTATCACTCCTCACTGTATCAGTGTGTGTATATATGTAGGTTTGTGTTTTTGCGTCACTTCCCTGTTCTGGCGTTTTGGGAAAACCACGACCTGAAGCGTCCCCTGGGGTCCTGCCCTGCTCCTCTTAGTCTGCTTGCAGCCACCACTGCTGCTGGTTCTGGTTCTGGTTCTCCCTCTCTCCTCCTTTTTCACATTTTTTTCTTCCACTTTTTTTCCCTTCCAAAACTGCTTTCTCTTCTCTCCACCCATACTTTCAAACACCTCTCTTTCATCATTCATTCAATCCACATCAACTGACTTTCTTTTCAACATTTCTTTTTCTTTCTCACGACATATTTCATGCTTTCTTTCTACATTTTTTACCATTGAGTCAAAGACTGAGTTCTCACTTTGGTCACCTGGTTGAGCGTGCGTGACAGTCCACGCCCCAGCCCTTAATTCGGCCGTGCTGACTGTCATCCCATGTTATTCGGTAAGCGTCCTTAGCAAAGCCTTTTGCCTTCTACAGACCAAACATGCTAAAATACTGCCGCCTAACGCCAGTCTCCCGGCGCCTAGGGTTTTTTTCTGCAGACTCTAAGCTACTCGGCCGACCTCCCATGAGCCACTGCCCCAGGGGCCATTAGATCCTGTGTGTAGCTGAGACCTCAGGAAATTGCTCTGTACTTAAGCCCAGAACTTCTCCGTGAAATATCACGGAGGTGCGCCATGACTCACCCACCCTTTGGCCTGACCAAACGGAGAACCCAAGTGACTTATACATCCATATATGACATAGGTTGGACACAGCTCACCAGTGCAGATTCTCCCCTAGTTCTTTTGGATGATCTCGGTGTTTCGCTGAGGACTCGCCTCACAACTCCCCCTTTTTGAAGCTTTAGTGGGACCGAGGATTGACTTTTTGCCTTGGGGTGATCAGCCGTCTTTGGAGTTCCCACACTCGGAGCATCCTGTTTGTGATGCCAAACTTGTCATGGAATTTTGTAAATAAAGTCTGCAACACGGAAAGAGCTGTGGTCAAGCTATTTATTACTGCGCAGGAGAGCCAACACACACATCAAACATCACAGTTCACAGTCGTGCCAGCTCTACCCTTGGGGTGTCTCAGCTCCTCTTTTATACCCCTTCCCCACACACAACTTTCTGTATCTTTTAGTTACAACAGGCTTCTGTCCCATGGGCAGTGGCTGGGCAGAGCATCTTCCACTATCTTTTCCCAGGAAGCTGCTGGCATCAGTCATCTTGGAAGTTTCATCCTTCCACACCCTAACAGTTAGCAGATAACATAGTGAAACATTGTTAGGCCTAGCTAAGCAGTTTTTCATGAGGTCATACTGACGCACACTTACTTCATCTTAAGCAGGCAAAGGTTATACAAAAATCATACACTAATTTACTGTGTACTGTGAGGATTTAGATTTATCCTCACATAAATCTAAATGTGAGGATAAACTAGAATTTTCCATAACAGGGAGTATATATGAAACTCTTCTTTTGTTTTCTCTGTGGTTTCAGATCTTTTACCAATGATGTCTACAGGTTAAGGCAAATCTGATGGTTAGAAACTGCCAAAAGTAATGGCTGAATGATAATAGCCTTTTAGCTTTTAGATTAGATATTCTGTGTATCCAGATGTACTGGAGGCAGGAGATAGAGCTGATACTTCTGATGAAGATTTAACCCAAAGAGGAGGCTAAAACTGAAAAAGTATTGTGTGATTGTGCGATTGATGTACATATACTTTCAAATGTTGGCATCTGCCTTCCACTGAAACCAAAATTGAGTACTTTGGCATCAACTCAAACCACTGTGTTTGGAGGAAGAGAAATGCTGAGTATGATCCAAATAACACCAGTCCCACAGTCAAGTAAGAAGTGGAAACATTATGCTTTGGGGCAGTTTGTCTAAGGGTAGAGGATGACTTCACTACATTGACAGGGAAAAGGACCGGACCATGTTTCTTTTTACTATAGAAAGTAAAATGTTGGATGAGAACCTCCTTCCCTCAACCAAATCACTAAAGATGGGCCGTGTATGGCAGCGGTCCCCAACCTTTCTTGCACCACGGACCGGTTTAATGTCAGATAATATTTTCATGGACTGGCCTTTAAGGTAAAATGATACGACCAAGACAAAAACTGTGGTATTTTGTAAATATAGTAATAAACACAAATTCACTGTGTAGTTGTGTCCTCCTCTCTGCCCCTTAATGCTCTCTGGTCGCTATGGTAATGTGTAAATATTTCTTTCAAAATAAGACACACAACTACAACACGGGAAAAGTTAACAATAAAAACCCTGAAAACCATAAATTTGACACCCAAGCATCAACTCTCGTAGCCACCAACCAGACCACTCACGGACCTGTACCGGTCTGTGGCCCGAGGGTTGGGGACCGCTGGTGTATGGGACTTGTGGCTATAGAGTGGCTATAGAAGAAGGTTGTGAAGTAAATAGCCTGCATTTGTATAGCGCTTTTCTAGTCCCTAAGGACCCCAAAGTGCTTTACACTACATTCAGTCATTTATCCATTCACACACTGGCAAGCTACATTGTAGCCACAGCTGCCCTGGGGCGCACTGACAGAGGCAAGGCTGCCGGACACCGGCGCCAGCGGGCCCTCTGACCACCACTAGTAGGCAAACATGGGGTTAGTATCTTGCCCAAGGATATTTGGCATGCAGCCAGGAGGCAACCTGGGATCGAACCACCGATCTTCTGATTAGTGGCTGACCTGCTCTGCCACCTGAGCTACAGCCACCCTGGCCTTATCAGTCTCCTGACCTCATTACTATAGCAAGCTGAAACTTGAAGCTGCCAACCAGGCAACCAAGAAACCTAAAAGACCAAAATCCCACCTGAGAGATATGAAAACCTGATAATAAGAAATTATGCCAAGAAAGTTAGTATTCTTGACCAAGTACTAAAACAAGTATTTGATCTTGTGGAGCAAAACCTAATTTCACTCAATGACATGCAAATCTGTTTATAATAACTTTTGAGGGGGTTTTAACTCTTATTTTTTCTGGGTTGTTTTTTTGGTTGAATTCTGTCTCTATGCAATTAGAGACTATTCATTGTTTTGGAAATGAATAAACTTACAAAGTAGCTCGAATAATTATTCCTCCGACTGTATCTAAACTTTCCTTGGTCTGACAAACCTAACCAACATAATAAGACATCTTGAACAATTTTTGAGAGAAATACACCCCTTTGACAGGAGCAAACCTCTGACAGAAAAAGGGTTAGAAAGGGCTTTTGCATAAGATTCCCTCTTATAGTTAACCATTAGACAAACTAGCTAATGTAGTCAAAGGTTGTTTTGACAAATCAAATGTCATCTTTGCAGATCCTCCAACCCTTTTTGCAGCCCTGTGTTAGAACAACATCAAGGGGCAATGGAAGGACCGGAGGGCAACTATCACATTCCTTCATCCAGTCTGTGCCTGAGTCAGACTCCTGTCTGCATCACTGTAGCAAGCAGGTATTGGTCTTCACACACATGGTATATTGTTAGTTCCATAGGTAGTTGGTCAGACATCATTTTTGTAGTTTTGCCTCTATTCACCACCACAGTGAATGAAACATTCATAAAGATAAAATTGATTGAATGCAGATTTTCAGCTGTAACTCAAGATTTTTAATAAAAATGTTTAGCAATTTTTGCCTTTAGAACAGCAGTCATTCTTCATGACATAGATTCAGCAGTGTATTGGAATCATTCCTCTGGGTTTTTGGCAAACCCAGAGGAATTGGCGAAACACCAGAAGGACAAAACATCAGCTACTGCTAGACAGAGCAGTTGCCCAAGACTTGTCTTCACCTTTGACCTTGCTTCTCCAGCTCCTCTCTCTGTCCTTAGTATTTCTCCAGCTTCTCACGTTCTTCTTCACATTGTTCTTCCTGATGTAGCTATCACTTTATATAGCTACATCTATTATTATGGCCTTCTTCCTCTGCTTGTCCACCACTACTATGTCCAGTTGGTTTGCCTTCAACAGTTTTCTGTCTGTATGTCATTAGAGTTTAGTTGGGGTGCTGTGATTCAGTTACATTTTGTTGCTCATGCAGGTCCTTGGAAAATAGCCCTCCAGAGCTGTCCTTTGAGGAGGAGAAGCCCTGGTGCCTTGAGCCTGGTGAGTCTTTCAAGTGTTAATTAATTTACATTTTTGGCTCATATATTGTTGTTATAAGCAGGCCAGGCTACATCGTTTTTTCATGTTTTGATTAAGGGACCCGTTGAGGCAGAAATTACCTTCTGTATAGTTAAAATAAAAGAGTACAAGAAAACTTTCTGGAGAAATCGTGGTGGGATTGTTGCTACTGGCAGACTACAGTGGGGCAAAAAAGTATTTAGTCAGCCACTGATTGTGCAAGTTCCCCCACTTAAAATGATGACAGAGGTCAGTAATTTGCACCAGAGGTACACTTCAACTGTGAGAGACAGAATGTGAAAAAAAAATCCATGAATCCACATGGTAGGATTTGTAAAGAATTTATTCGTAAATCAGGGTGGAAAATAAGTATTTGGTCAATAACAAAAATACAACTCAATACTTTGTAACATAACCTTTGTTGGCAATAACAGAGGTCAAACGTTTACTATAGGTCTTTACCAGGTTTGCACACACAGTAGCTGGTATTTTGGCCCATTCCTCCATGCAGATCTTCTCGAGAGCAGTGATGTTTTGGGGCTGTCGCCGAGCAACACGGACTTTCAACTCCCGCCACAGATTTTCTATGGGGTTGAGGTCTGGAGACTGGCTAGGCCACTCCAGGACTTTCAAATGCTTCTTACGGAGCCACTCCTTTGTTGCCCGGGCGGTGTGTTTTGGATCATTGTCATGTTGGAAGACCCAGCCTCGTTTCATCTTCAAAGTTCTCACTGATGGAAGGAGGTTTTGGCTCAAAATCTCACGATACATGGCCCCATTCATTCTGTCCTTAACACGGATCAGTCGTCCTGTCCCCTTGGCAGAAAAACAGCCCCATAGCATGATGTTTCCACCCCCATGCTTCACAGTAGGTATGGTGTTCTTGGGATGCAACTCAGTATTCTTCCTCCTCCAAACACGACGAGTTGAGTTTATACCAAAAAGTTCTACTTTGGTTTCATCTGACCACATGACATTCTCCCAATCCTCTGCTGTATCATCCATGTGCTCTCTGGCAAACTTCAGACGGGCCTGGACATGCACTGGCTTCAGCAGCGGAACACGTCTGGCACTGCGGGATTTGATTCCCTGCCGTTGTAGTGTGTTACTGATGGTGACCTTTGTTACTTTGGTCCCAGCTCTCTGCAGGTCATTCACCAGGTCCCATCGTGTGGTTCTGGGATCTTTGCTCACCGTTCTCATGATCATTTTGACCCCACGGGATGAGATCTTGCGTGGAGCCCCAGATCGAGGGAGATTATCAGTGGTCTTGTATGTCTTCCATTTTCTGATGATTGCTCCCACAGTTGATTTTTTCACACCAAGCTGCTTGCCTATTGTAGATTCACTCTTCCCAGTCTGGTGCAGGTCTACAATACTTTTCCTGGTGTCCTTCGAAAGCTCTTTGGTCTTGGCCATGGCGGAGTTTGGAGTCTGACTGTTTGAGGCTGTGGACAGGTGTCTTTTATACAGATGATGAGTTCAAACAGGTGCCATTCATACAGGTAACGAGTGGGGGACAGAAAAGCTTCTTACAGAAGATGTTACAGGTCTGTGAGAGCCAGAGATTTTCCTTGTTTGAGGTGACCAAATACTTATTTTCCACCGTAATTTACGAATAAATTCTTTACAAATCCTACCATGTGAATTCATGGATTTTTTTTTTCACATTCTGTCTCTCACAGTTGAAGTGTACCTCTGGTGCAAATTACTGACCTCTGCCATCATTTTAGGTGGGGGAACTTGCACAATCGGTGGCTGACTAAATACTTTTTTGCCCCACTGTGTACAGGGGTGCACATAAGTGGCCCGCAGGTGCGCATGCGCTGTCAAAATAAAAGACGCGCACCAGATAAGAAGTTGCAACGCATGTTTGCGTACATAAGATATTCTGGAGGAGGACAGACATTTGTTTAGAACTCTTAAAGATGTAGAAGAAGCAAGCTCCTTTAAGCAATTACTTTGGTGTTCCTCCACTTCCAAAGAAATGTCAGAAGCACGTATTCTCGGAAAAGTGGTTGCAGGAGGTGAGCTGGCTTCAAACATGGGGGGGGCATGTTATTCTGCTGATGACAGCAGCACTAATGATCTAAGAAAACCATATATCACTTGACATGTTTTCTTGACTTTTTTTTTTTAACAAATACTACCATCAGATTAAATTTGAAAACGATAACTGTGGACACTAAAATGCTAACAAAAAGATAGACAGACAAACAAATAAACCAAACTGATTACATACTCCCTCCCTTTGGTGCAACAATGACCCTTTTTTTTACAATGTAAGATGGAATTTAACATAGACTGAGTGGCACACTGCTTAAACCTTGTATAGAGTACATGCATAGTTTAATGGGGAACTACAAGTACTGGAATTACCACTCATTTTTGTTTGTATCTTTCTTTGTCTCTGTCTATGTACACTATATTATCAACTGTGCCTGTTTTTGTTCTCTGCATTACCATTTTACCAGCTCTAAACCAAGCTTAGTGATGTGTGACTCACCATTCATTTCACTGGTGACTAATTTAGTTTTAAAATTTAGGGAAATGTTCTAGTGCACAGGCCCAATTATGTAACACAAGCACCTGTGGAAATTTCTAACATGTCAGGGCCTAGCATTCTTGACTCCAAAGAAAGGTAAGTAAGTAAGTAAGTAAAATTTTATTTATATAGCACATTTCTAGATAAAAGATCACAAAGTGCTTCACAAGGTATAAAACAAAAACAGTCAAAAGTTAACAAAATGCAATTTTAAAACGATGTGTTTTTAGCTGTTTTTTAAAAGTAATCACTGAGTCTGCGGATCTTAAGTTCTCAGGAAGAGAATTCCACAGTCTGGCAGCCACAGTAGCAAAAGCTCTATCACCCTTGGTTTTCAGTCTTGTATACTGAATAACAAGTAGGCCCTGATCACAAGACCTCAGAGACCTACTAGGGGCATAGGGCTGTAAAAGTTCAATGATGTACGCTGGTGCTTGTTCTTGAAGAGCCTTAAATGTCAGAACCAGAATCTTAAAATGGACTCTGAATTCAACAGGGAGCCAGTGCAGCTGTATAAGCAATGGTGTTACATGAGAGTATTTCGATGTTTTTGTCAGAAGCCTTGCTGCAGCATTTTGGACAATCTGCAGACGCTCCAGGGAGTTTTTGTTTAGACATGTAAACAGTGAATTACAGTAGTCCAATCGTGATGAAATGAATGCATGAATAACAATTTCCAGTTCAGTATGAGATACTATGGGGCTCAATTTAGAAATGTTTCTTAAATGATAGAAGCAGGACTGAACCAGAGATTTGACGTGGACATCCAGGGTAAGAGCAGAATCAAAGGTTACCCCTAGGTTCCTGATAGACGATTTCACAAATGTTGAAAGAGGACCAAGAGCATTCATTATGTTAGGTACATGTCTGTCTGGAGCACATACAAGGACTTCAGTCTTTTTTTCATTAAGTTGGAGGAAGTTGTCAGCCATCCAACCTTTGATGGTTTCTAAGCACACATTTAGAATCTGCAGCTTAGAAACATCTTCAGGTTTAAAAGATATATATAGCTGGATGTCGTCTGTGTAGCAGTGGTAGCAAATGTCCTCAAAGGGGCTTAAAATATGCTGGAGAGGAAGCAGATATATTAAAAACAATAAGGGCCCCAGCACAGAACCTTGTGGCACACCATAGGACAGGGACGTGGAAGATGACCTATACTTAGAAACCACCACAGAAAAGTATCGTTCATAGAGATACGAGGAGAACCACTCTAAGGCAGACCCAGATACACCAACCCAGTATTTCAGCCTTTCAAGCAAAATATAATGGTCAACGGTGTCAAAGGCTGACGTGAGGTCCAACATTAGGAGTACAGAACACTTTCCTGCATTGTTTTGCATCAGAATGTCATTGGAAACTCTAAGAAGGGCTGTTTCAGTAGAATGAGCTCTACGAAAGCCAGACTGAAATTTGTCAAAGATATTATGTTTGTCTAAAACTGCTGTAAGCTGCTTAGCCACAACCTTCTCTAATATCTTAGCAATTAACGGTATTTTTGAGATTGGTCTGTAATTGCTAGTGAGAGATGGGTCCAGCATAGGCTTTTTTAACAGGGGGTGTATAACAGCAGTTTTAAAATAAGCAGGGACTTTACCAGATCCCAGTGAGGTGTTAATTATGGCAAGCACACAGGGACCAATAGACTGGAACACATTTTTGAATAACGATGCCGGTAAAATGTCAAGTGAACAGGAGGATGCTTTTGTTGCATTAACTATTTTTTCCAGCTCTGATAGTGAGACAGGTAAAAAGCATTCTAAAACGACAGGCCGAGCTGGCGTAGGAACTGACAATGCAGATGCTGATGGGGACAATTTTTTCCTTACATTACTAATTTTTTCTAGAAAGAAAGAAAGAAATGTTTCGCAGTCTTCATTAGAAGAAATAATGGCAGCAGGTGGAGCAGGAGTAATAATATCAGTAATAGTGTCAAATAATACCTTAGGATTACCTCTGCTCTTTGCAACCAGATGAGAAAAATAAGCAGCCCTCGCATCTCTAATTGCATTGTTAAAAGAGGCTAAAAGATCCTTTAAGTAAAGGAGATGAACATTTAAATGAGTTTTCCTCCATAAGCGCTCAGCTTTACGACAATCACGATTTATGGATCAGATGTTGTCATTTAGCCAGGGTAAGGACTTGGAAACAGAAACTGGTCTCATTTTAACCGGACAGATTTAATCTAAAATCGAAAAACAATGGTTATTAAATAGATCTGTTAAGAAATCAACGCCATTTTGCGGGGATAGTGTTAAATTAAAACCATCCGAGAAATTCTGTGCTGTGGAGGAATTTATGATGCGCGAGATAATTGTCCGGTGAACAGGAGACAAAGGCTCATGAAAAGACATGTTAAAAAGAATACAGTGATGATCAGAGATAAAAAAAAAAATGTCCTCAGAACAAATAGAATCAATATTCAAACCCAAAGTAA